GTCCCACAGTCCCCACATTCTTCCACTGCCCTGCCTCACAGCTTGAACACTGTGCTCAAGCCTTCCAATGCTGCCCAGTTTTCTCTCTGTCACTGTGATAAACAACTCTGACCAGAATTAACTTGAGGGAAGAAATGACTTATTTGGCTCACAGAATGACAGTCCACCAGCAAGGGAAGCCAGGGCAGGAACTCAGGGCAGGACCTGGAGGCAAGAACTGAAGCAGAGGCCATAGAGGAAGACTGCTGGCTGGCTGGCTTCCCCTGACTTTCTCAGCCTGCTTTCTTATACAACCCAGGACCACCTGCCCAGGGGTGGCACTACCCACGACAGGCTGGGCCCTCCCACATCAATCATTAATCACGAAAATGCCCCCACAGACATGCCCCAGGCCAGTCTAATGAGGAAATTCCTCAGTTAAGAGTCCCTTTCCTCAGGTGACACTAGGTTGTGTCAAGTTGACAAAAACGAATCAAACAGATGCACACGGTATCTGCCATTCGGAGTCACAACTAAGATGCCTTAAGGCCCCTGGTGGGACACACATGCCCTGAACAGAAGATGTCAGATTCCCCATGTTCTGTCCAAAGATGCATCTACTGCAAAAATCTTCCATGGGACAGAGGAGCCTTCACCTTCTGTCAATTAGGACTCATCAGATCTGTCTGGGGGCTGGAGAGATGGGTCAGAGTTAAGAAGCATTTGCTGCTCTCAAAGAGGACCCTAGTCCAGTTTCAAACACCCCTGTCAGGCAGCTCACCTATAACTCTAGCTCTAAGGGATCCAATGCCCTCTTCTGGATTCTATGGACATCTGCTCTCACATGTGTGTGTGTGTGTGTGTGTGTGTGTGTGTGTGTGTGTGTGTGTGTGCATGCGCGCGCACGTGCGCGCGTGCATACACATACACACACACACACACGCGCGCGATCTAAAATAAAGTAAATCTTTCTTTAAAAAATGAAGTAATTTGCCTTGCTTCCTAGTACTTATACATGGCCAGGTGCCTCATTGTCAGACTCGTCCCGCCTCTGTAGATCCCCAGAGACAGTGACTCCAAATGCAGTGTGTTTACTATCCACAGATGCCCAGAGCACAGATCCACTGAAGATGGGAGAGAGGCTTAAAATAATCCTGTGCAAATTGCACTGTCCAAACAGAGGCAGAAATAGATGAGGATTATCAGGTACAGGGAAATGACCACTTTGGCATCAATGATGGATCCTTCGTTTCTGGAGAAATATTAGGAAACCTTGGAGATTCGGAGGTTGTTGTTGAACACACACAATAATGTTGAACTTACATTTGTTGGTTTGTTTGCTTGTGTCTTTTTTGCTTGGGGGGAGGGGGTTTTTAAGATTTATTTTACATGTATGTGTGTCCACGAAGGACAGTAGAGGGTGCTGGATCCCTAGGAGCTGGAGTCACAGGCAGTTGTGAGCCACCTGATGTGGGCGCGAGTATCTGAACTTGGGCCCTCTGATAGAGCAGTGAAGTACCTTAACGGCTGAGCCAGCTCTAGCCCCATTCTTTCTCCCCCCCCCCTCATAGGATCTCACTCTGTCTGCCAAGCTGGACTCAAACTTGTAACAATCCCCCTGCCTCAGCCTCTCAAGCCCTGAGATTGTAGGGGTGTAGCACCATAGCCAGCTTGAGTCATTATTGAATCAGTTTTCTCTCAGATGCTCCCATCGTCTCAGAGACAGTCAGTCATCACTAGGTCTGAGTGTATCTAAAACGTTTCCTGCACAGCTCTCCCCTGTCAGCGAGGACAACCTCAGGCTGTAAACAATGGCAATCAGCAGAGGCACCAGTACACAAAGTGCTCCCCTTTATGACATGTGGCTGTCATTGTCCTGGCCGATACGGTCCCTATCCTGGTGAGGTCTCACGGTCAACTTGACACAACCTAGAATCACTCAATAAAAGAGAATCTCAACTGAGGCATTGCCTCCCTCAAATTGGCCTGTCAGCAAGCCTATGGAGCATTTTCTTGATTAATGATTGATATGGGAGGGTCCAGCCCACCATGGGCAGTGCCATCCCCGGGCAGGTGGTCCTGGAGTGTATAAGAAAATAAACTGAGCAAACCATGGGGAGCAAGCCACTAAGCAGTATTCCTCCATGGCTCACGCGCGCACGCTCTCTCTCAGTTCTTGCCTCTCCCTCCTGGGGTGACACAGGCAGCAGGTATGGAAGCCATTACTACATCATATATTACAATGCATAGGAAAACAAACATGTGTAACACATGCATCAACAGTTGTCAGCGTTCACCCGTCTCTGTACACACTGCGCCCCACGTGACTACAGATGGCCCTAACCTGTCATGGATACAGGTACCCTCATGTTTGCACACACCAAGCTCTGTGATGCTATCTGCTCCACATCCACACTCTAGTCTCTGTGCATAGCTGTTACGCACCCTCCTTTGGGATACATGGCACCCCCATCAACACATGCAGAAGGCTATCCCATCACAGAACCCCAGCGGCACCACTAGCCACATACAAACAATGACAACGTCCTTCATCAGTCCAGGACAGCTCTTTGAGACTTGAATAGAGCATTCTCAGAGCCTGAGCAAAGATGTCCAGGAAATCCCAGCATACCTTGAAAATCTCCTAAGAAACACCAGACTGTGTCTGTGTTTTTATTACTGTGTATAATAGTCTAATCATTTTTAAATTGTTAACCCATGTACCAATATTTACAAACACTTCCTATTAGCAGGTATATTTGATTAATTAATGAGTGTCTCGATCATCATTCAGTCACCATGCAATTGCTGAGCACCAATTAAGTTTGAGACGTCAGGGTAGACACCTGGGGGATTAGAGAACAAATAGGGAATAAATAAAAGAATATTATGTGATCCCTACCCTTGGATATAAACAGATACAGTTTCAAAAACAAACAGTTGAGACTAGCAGGTGGCTCACTGGGTAAAGGTTCTTGTCATCAAGTGTGATTGCCTGAGTTCGATCCCCAGGACCCACAAGATGGACAGAAAAAGAATTATTTCTTCAAGTTGTCCTTGGATCACCATGCATATGCACATACACATACACACACTAAATAGATAGATAGATAGACAGATAGATAGACAGACAGACAGACAGACAGACAGACAGACAGACAGACAGATAGATAGATAGATAGATAGATAGATAGATAGATAGATAGATAGATAGATAGATGATAGATAGATAGATAGATAAATGTAATTTTAACTTCTAAAGTCAGTGTAACTGTGCATGTCTGGGATCCCGTCATACAGGAAGCTGAGGCAGGAAACACAACCCTGCAAATAAACGTACCACAGCTGTCTCATAGCTTAACAGGACATGGTGAGTGAGGAAGAGAAGAAGATGCGGACACAGGAGACCCCAACTGGGAGTCCTAGGAAGCAGAGATGGTGGTAGAGTCAGGAAAAAAGCAGTGGCCTGGAGTTTGGAGGGTAAACTTGGGCTGCAGCAGGACATGAAGGAAAAGGGACGTGCCCTGCCGCAGTGAGGCACAGAGTTGAGCAGCAGCAGCCATTACAGCAGATCACTAGACAATTAGCAGGAACGCCAACAGAGAAGGAGGTGGGCGAGGGTGAGGCATGAGGCGGTCAGTGGTGGAATGCCCGCCCAACGTGTGCAGGACCCTGGGGTCAGTCCCCAGCAATGAAGACAAAGACTCAAGAAAGAAGGGCGAGCAGAGAATGAGTCCAGTTCAGGATGGATACTTGGGGGACACATAGCTAATGCACACACACGCACCTCACCCTGCTTCTGTGTTTCCTCCATCTTTGAAGACCCACAAGCCTCTGCCAGGGCAGCATATGGACCCCTCCATGTAAGCATAGCTGCAGACTTCAGGTCTTTTAGGGACCCAAAGCAACCCAAGTGGTTGCTCTTCAACCCTCATGGCTCCAACTATGACGCGCACTGAGATCTGGGCACCTTTGGGACTTTGCTTAGACATTACTAACCTGCCTTGTTAGGGAAAAGAGGCCTGACAGAAATACCTTGGAACATCACCAGACACTTGGTTTCACCAGACACTTGGTTTTTAACCTCCCAACTCCTGGTACCAAGGATTAACTGATCAACTCTGGAACTCGTGGTGAACCTTCCACCACCCTGCCTCAACTTTGCCCACCCCACCCCCAACTTTTTGTTAGCAGTGATGTGAATTATTGAAGATATTTTGGTCTAGACTTTCAGCACAGAGTTAAGAAAAAGAGAAGTGCTCAGGAAGAAGGACACCCGTGAGCGTGGAGGTGGGCTTCTCAAGGAAGTCACTTTTTTTCTTTTTTTTTGGTGGGGGGGGCAGGGTAGTTTTTGCTAGGTAGCACAAGATGGCTTCAAACTTACAGCAATCCTCTTGCCTAAGCCTCTAGAGTGCTGAGGTTACAGGCATGCACCACCTCCAGTTTCTAATGGTGGATTTCTAAAACGCTTATTTTGTAATGTAAGCATTCGTGTGCGTAAGTGTATAAGCCTGCAAAAAGTCAGGGGGTTGAATTTGTATTTCCAAATGCATTTGACTGTAGCAACTTTTTATCTGTTTACTTATTTTTACGATAGCTGATTCTGAAGAGAACTTGAAAGGAAATGGTTATCTCTGAGATCCTTCAATAGCCCACGCACTTGTGAGAGGGCAGGGTACCCGAGGCAGAGCTGAGGCAGCCAGACTGACCCCTCACTCTTCTCCTCAAGGGAGACCCAGATCCAACCCCTCAGTCTCCTCTCCCGAGGAGACCCAGCAGCCTCTGTGATGACTCATGATCTCAGACGCTGGGAGGAGTCGGAGACCTCTCAACCTGTCAGATGCTGGCTTCCACGGGAGCTGGGTAAACAGTGTGGCCTGTGCCTTCCTCCTTAAAGACCTCGCTCAAGCTCAGAGCACTCCAGGGGTTTTACATGGCTGAACAAGGCTAGGGTCTGATCAGAGCATGGAGAAGAGCCACCGTCAACCTTGTGCTTCTTCTCTCTCTCTCTCTCTTCCTAGCCTTGCTGCTTCCAAGGAGGCTGACGCTGCCCGCTCTGCCCCCAAGCCTATGTCGCCCTCAGACTTCCTGGATAAGCTCATGGGGAGGACTTCTGGGTATGACGCCAGGATCAGGCCCAACTTTAAAGGTAGGGAAACACTTCTTTCGTATTCACAGGAAATGCTCTCCCATGATATACACATGCTGTGACCCTCCCACACACACTGTCTTCTCCACCCAAGGCAGACATTGCTAATCGATGCAATCTCTTTCCCCAACAAGTCCAGACAGAGCCTCAGAGAATTCGACTCAATGGCACCTCTGGTTTCTGGGAGTCAGTAAGTGAGTTAGGTCTTTTTCACTATGTCCAGTGTCATAGACGGTCAAACAAGGAATGTGGGTCAAGTTTTGGCTGGAGCACGAGCTTCCTCTGTGAGCTGGGACAAGCGCCTCCCTTTGTCTGGGTCTCAGTTTTCACATTTCTGCAATGCAGGCTTGGTTACGTGTACAGTCACGAGGCATGATGCTTGGGGTTTTAGGCTTCTGCCAGGAGTCTTGAGACACAGATGAGGAACTGGTCCACCTTGGCCTTGACCCAAGGAGCATCACTTCTGTTTGTTCTAGAAGGGGCCCTCCTACTCAAACCCACCTGCAGGAGGCTCCCACGGACTAACAAACAATTCATCAAATTCCTTTCACATGCCCACTGAAGTTGGGGGAGTCCTGATTTCTCTTCTCCTTGCTGTGACAAAAAGCCACCTGGCGAAGGAGGGATCGTTTGGGCTCACAGTCTGAGGACACAGTCCATCTGGTGGTGAAGACCCAGTCACAGGGTGAATCTGGAAGCAGAGATCTCTGGGGTTTATCCGCCTTGCTTCTCTTTGTTCAGTCCAGGATGGAAGCCCATGACGTGGGGCTGCCCACATTCAGGATGAGTCTTCCCAGACAAAGGTCAGACACCACCAGGTAGAGACAGTGGATACAAAGAGCCACAGGCTCCTGTGAATGAAGATGACTCCCCTTGCCCCCAGCCTGTAGGTCCCCTATGGGAATGTGGGCCCCATGTGGCCAGATGAGCCAATAGTCCAAGAAGACCCCAAACTGAGCTCTACAAGAAATTCCTAATTCCTGGATCATGCAAATTCAAACAAAACATGTTCAGGGTCCATCACTGCCAAATTGCACATGCTAGTCCAGGCAGTTGGACAAAGTTCTCTGCATTCATGGTCCCATTGGAACCTTAGTGCCAATAACAAAAGGAGATCAGGCTCTGTGTTCTCTGATGCCTTTGAATGATGTCTTCAGTGACATGAATCTTGCAGACCTGGCTTCAAGAGCCTCCTGGGACTCTGTGCACCCCAATCTTCCACACAGCACCCTGGAAAAATATTATTCCAAGAACCGACAGCCATGAGATCAATTCTTGTTTCTGGGTGTTTCTCCTTGTCACTCCTGTGGCTCAAGTCCAAGAGCAAAGATGTGTTTGACAGCTGGGACCAGTTATCTAATGTCTACCTATATTGTCTCCACACACCCCTCATCCCATTCCCCACACTCCCTTCTCTGACTGCTCTGTCCACAAGTCTCTGCAGACAGAAAACCATCTGGGAGAAGCTTGGGCGGCTGTGCTCAGGCCTACCTCCCAGCCTTATTTCCCTGACGGCCCCTTCCCTGGCCCCCAACCACCCTTCCATTATCATTAGCACAGTCTTGCTTCTTGGGGTTTCAATTGCTGTGATAAACACTATAACCAAAAACTGCTTGGCAGGGTAAAGGGAATTTGGTTCAGCTTACACTTCCACATCACAGTCCATCACTGAGGGAAGCTGAGTGGATACTCCAGGAAGGAACCTAGAGGCAGGAACTGATGCAGAGGCCATGGAGGACTGCTGCTTACTGGCCCGCTCAGTTTGCTCTCTTATATACTCTAGGACTGCCTTCCAAAGGGTGGTATCATCCACAGTGGGCTGGGCCCACCTACTTCAATGACTAGTCAGGAAAATACACCCCAGGCCAATCTGGTAGGGGCATTTTCTCAACTGAGGTTACCAAATGCCTCTAGCTCGTGTCAAGTTGACATAAAACTAGCCAGCACATCTTGGTTCTCCTAGGGACAGGACACTTGGTAGTCCAGTTGGCTGGAGTACTTTGCCAAGTTGAAATCTCAAACACCTGGAGAGGTGACAGGCAGATATGCTACAAGAAGGGTGGAACGTGGTGAAGATAAGAAAAATATAGAAAACTGGGGGGCTAGAGAGATGGTTCAGTGAGTTAAAAGTCCCTGCAGTTCAGATCTCCGACACTGATGTAAGAGCCAGGCACGGCCACACTGGCTGCAACACTAACACTGGACAAGCAGACGTAGGCAGATGTCCGGCCAGCCAGCACCCAGGTAATGAGATCTAGGTTCCCTGAGAGACCCTGTCTCAAAAGATAAGGTTTCGAGCAATAGTCAGAGACACCCAACCTCTACCTCCCCCTTCTCTATTCTCTTTCTCCAAGTAAATGGATAAGTAAAATACAGAAAACCCAAGTCCCTTGCAAGGTCCACTCCTCCTCAGTGCCTGCCCAGGGCTTCCAGGAAGGAGTGAAAACTGTGTGGTTAGTCAGGTCCTCCAAGACAGGACTTAAGTCTGAGGTTCTATGTCAAAGTCGCCGAAACTGACACTAAATAACATCTCTTGAGAATACCATTGGCTAAGCCAAACACATTCTGGCAGAGGAGGGAACGGACCTTAGCCACCAGGGTGCACCAATTGCCCCTAGCTAGCCTTTTTTTAGGAATTCAGTCCACAACGCCCCCTGGTGGACTCTTTCAGAACTTCGCCATATCACGGTCTTGTTTCTCCAGGATTCATTTTGTCAAATGGTAGGGTCACCTAAACAGAGGCCTATTTTCCTCCTTCATTGAGGCCAAGATTCAGGTTTTTCTTTTTATTTATCCTCATACTATACAGATGCTCCAAAGAGTTCCTCCAAGGTTCAAGGGCTATTCTTTGTGCATGCCACCATACTTCACACACAGAAGGCCCTCAATAAGCTTGTATAACCTACATGAACTCAAAGTCAAGATCCTCCTGCCTCAGCCTCCTAAGTACTGAGATTACAGCATAAACCTTTGTGCCTCTCTGAAAATCTTACTTAGAACACTTGAGTCCCAAATCTATAGAACTACAAAATCTCTTAGACATCTTCCTACTTCCCACTGGGCTCCCCTTCAGCCTATGCCTGACTAGAAGCAAGGTTGTCTCATGTGCACCTCCCAGGAGCTAGGAGTAGGGCTTTGCTCCTCTCCCTTAAGATTAAAGCAGAAAGCGAAGCCTACTGTACCTGGTCTCCTCTCCTTATCCCACTTCAGACTCAAAGATTTAAGACTCCCCAAAGCCCAGGAAAACCTCAGCATTCCTAAAATGGCCATGCAGCCCAGACTCTAAAAGCCCTCTACACACACACTCATACACACACACACACACACACACACACACACACACACACACACACACACACACAGTTTGAAACCTCAGCAGTTTTTCCCTCAGCAGCTTGCCTGTACAACACGAGCAACCTGCTTCTGGCCAGTCTGAAGTCTGAGGTGGCCAAGAGCTACAAGACGCTTGGTCTGCAGAGCCCAAAGTCAGTTCACACTCTAGTATGGAAGTAAATAGCACTAAGACCACTTATCCAACCTATGTTCCTCCTGAGAGATCCCTTCCTGGGCTTGAGCCCCTGTCTTAGCCTCCAAAGAGGGATGCAAGGAGAAGGACCAGGCCCTCCCAGCTCTGAGGCTTTGCCTCAGCTAAGGCTCTGTATTCTGCAGCAGCTTCCAGGATCAGGGGCATAGCCCAATGCAAACACATACACAAAAGCAAAATTAAACTTTAATATTTAATGAAATATATACATTATCCTGCTGCCAACGGCAACCGGATTGTAATTTTCTCAAGATAATTTAATTTCAGATTTATACCCATGAATCGCACCTCCCCATGGGGTCTTTTTTGGCTGGTGCCCTCTCACACTCATACATCAGCATCTCATTTATATGGAAGTCACAGTGCCGGATGCACGCAGCCCTGGGTGCATCACCTCAAGGCATGGGCAGTAACTCTTTGGGGCATCTAAATGATATGAGGCTAAATAAAAAGAAAAACCTGGATCTGGGGCTAAATGAATGAGGGAAATAAGCATCAGTTTATGTGACCTTAACAAGCAGTAATTCCCGCCCAACATAGGCAAACAATACTTTTAATATGCGGAGTTTTCCAGCGATGAAGGCATTGGGTTCTGAAGGGGGATGTGATCCTTCCCAGCAACCCCTAAACCCAGCTATGTATTCAAATCACCCAGGTGGCTTGTTATACAATAGGCCTTGTGCTAAGAGTCGCTGCTAAGGGCTGAGCCAAGGGCCCTGCAATTTTTGTTCTGTTTTCGTTTGGTTTTTGGTTTTTGTTTTTTTTTTGTTTTGTTTTTTTTTAAGATAGCAATCTCGCTCTGGAGCCCATGCTGACCTCGAACTTCTGGCCTCCCTATATCTGCCTCTTGGGCATCAAGATCACAGGCACAGGCCACCACAGCTCATGGGCTCTGCAACTGACATTTTTCAGGTTTTAGCCTCAGCCACACACAAGTCTGGAAAGCAGTTGATGAAGTGCTGGAAAGGACCCCAGCCCCACTAGCCTGCAATCTAGACTATAGGCTAGCTTCCCTGAGAGGATGCCATTAGAGCTAAGACAGGCCACCTAGCTTCCCTCGCCAGCTTCTGCCTCACTCAGGCTGTCCCCTGACCCTTTCGCTGCCACCTTTCCCTTATCTTTAGCTGTCCGTAACGTTCTCTGGAAGCCCCGCCCCTTTTTTTTCTTCTCATGACTTGGTTCATCTGAAAAGGAAATGCAGATGTCTCAGGAGGCCAGAAGCAGACCGACTTTCAAGAAGTGGGGGCGGGGATAGGGGGTGGGAGGGTAGAGCAGCTCAGTGGTAGAGTTCTTGCCTAGCATGGGCTAGGTCCTGAGTTCCATCCTCAGCACTGGGTATCAGGGGAAAGGAGGAAGAGAGAGGCCCTTTAATGAGAAATACTTCACCTACCCCTGGAATTTCCCACCCACTGTCTTACCATAACCCCTTGTATCCCTAAAAGCTCTTGATACTCCCTGAGCTCTTGAAGATAGATATTTGAGATAAAGATTTCCTTAGTATTTATATAGACCAGCTTCTGATAAATTTGCTCCTGAAAAAGAAGGAAGAGGACAATGATGATGATGAAGAGCAATAATAATAATAATAATAATAATAATAATAATATCTAGCCTTCCCTCCAAACTGTTGAGGGGACTAAGATTCAGAAAATGGAAGTCTGTTCTTTGCCTCAACAGCAGGAGAGTCTGGGGTTGTACGTATACCCCAGAGTTTGACACTTACTGCTTTGAGGGAAGACCTGAATTCTCATCCCAAGAGAAAGTTTCCTCCTATCCATCAAGCCTTCCGAGAGAAAGAGAATCTTAGCTACGTTTGTGAGCAAGCTATAGGTTACCTTTTGAAGATGGACATGATGGATTGGGTACCAGAGGACATAAAGCTGTCCACTCTCTTCTTTCCACAATCAGAAAACTTGGGCTCAAGTCGTGGCTCTACTGCCTTCCACCTAGTGAGCCCAGATAAGTGACTTTGAGACATGAGGACAATTATGCTCTTCCTGTCTCAGCACCTCTTGGGATCAACAAGGGATAAGCCCTGGAAGCATTCATAATTATAACCCTTCAAGTGAAGGTCTATGACCTATCCAAGTCCTAAGCACCTTCAAGGTCAGACCAAGGTCAGCTCCCCTCTCAGGTCTTCCTGTCTTAGTCTTCAGACCCTCTCTGAGCTGGACTCTGCTCCTTTGACCCCTCTTGTTCATGGTCCTATGCCTTTCTCTAGCCGTTTCACGCTTGTTTATATGGAAACTCCTTGTTGAATCTTCTAGACTCTGCCAGGCCTGATAGAACACGCCTGGAAATCCCAGCCCTCAGAAGGCTGAGGCAGAGAATCACTGTAGATCCATATCAGCCTGGGCTACAAGACAAGACCTGTGTCATAAATGGGGTGGGGAAATCTGGGCAGGAAACTAAATTGTAAAGCACTTGCCTTGCAAGCCTGAGGACCTAAGTTCAATCCCCAGCACCCAGGCAAAAACCAGACATATCATTCTAGTGCTAGGAGGTAGAGACAGGTGGGTCCTTGGAGCTTGGTGGCCAGCTAGCCTAGCCTACGGTGGTGCTTTGAATGAGAAATGTTCCCCCGATAGGCTTTAGCACAGTTGATGGTACTGTTTGGGAAGGTGTAGGAGGTTGAGCCTTGCTGAAGGAAATATGCACTGGGAGACAGCTTTTAAGAGCATATAGCCTTGCCCTGTCCCGCCCCCTCTCTCTCTCTCTGCTTCAGGCTTGAGGTTGTAATCTCTTGGCAGTCTGCTCCTGCTACCATGCCGCCATGCTTGCCCCTTGATGCCATGTCCCCTCTGCCATGATGGACTCTTATCTGACTGGAACCATAAACCCAAACAAGCTCTTTCATCCAGAAATTGTTTTTGATCATGGTATTTTATGAAAGCAACAGAAAAGTAACTAATACAGTGAGGGACCATGTCTCTAAAAACAAGGTGGGAGGCACCTAAGGAATAATGACCAAGGTGATCATCTGACCTCCACCTGTGCGCGCGCGCGCGCGCGCGCGCGCGCGCGCGCGCACACACACACACACACACACACACACACACACACACACACTGGTTCTGGATTCTGCCCCTGGCTACATGACCCTGCTTCTTCCTCCCTCTCAACTTGCTTCCCATGGTATAGCTGTTAAGAATTAGACAAATCAGAACTAGAAGCCTGACTTCACCATTCTCTAGCAGTGTGGCCATAGACGAGTAATTTGGCCCCTCTCACCCTCAGTTTCCTACTCTGCACAGTGTGGGTGACAACCAGCCTTCTCACAGAGCTGTTGGGAGGACACGGTGAGATCATGACAGGCAAGGTCTCACTGAAGCAGCTCAGAGGTTGGTAACTGTTGCCATTCACAGTGTGAAATGAAGGATCCCGGCTTCAACCAGGAAGAGTCACCCCCCAGAAACAAGTACCAAGGCAGTGGCATTCATTCCCTTCTTTTCTGGACATAGCAGGCTGGAAAAAAAATACTTGTCCACAAAGTATTTAACAAAGGCTTGTGGACTGTCCATCAGGCTCCCTCCAGATCCCTCGCCTGGTAATTCCCATCATCACCTCTTCATTCTCAGTTCATAAGTTCAAGGCAAAGAACTTGCTGTTCCTTGCAATTCCTGAGATGGCCTCCAAATGTTGTAGCCATAAATATATCTCAGACACAAATTAGAAGGCACCGATGGGGCTTGGGGAAGGGATTTCAGCCAGATGGCAGGATGATGAATCACCTTGTGTTAATGAATGTACAGCTTGGCTCAGCCTCCTGTGAGGTGTACCTGCCCGTTACCTGGAAGCTGGGGAGTCTAGTCTGGCAGAGATGCTAAATGCAAGCTGGAGGTCCCAGACACTTAGGGGTGGGTGGATAACAAGCAGGGGGCTCCTTGGCCCTGTGGGGAGGTCTATCCTTGAAGTTAGTTTCTCTACAGCCTGAGACTCAGTGAAACTCTCTCTTGATTGGTAGGTCCCCCTGTGAACGTGAGTTGCAACATCTTCATCAACAGCTTTGGCTCCATTGCTGAGACAACCATGGTGAGTACGTTATAGCGACCATCGTTTCTGGAGTCGGTGTCTCTGCCCTGGGAATGTTTCTTCGCTGCACCAGGTTCCCTTAAGAAGGCACAGAATTTGGTGTTTTTGTTGGGTCTCTTGAAGGCTCAAATAGTTTTTTTCTGTCCAATTCGATGATTTGGGTAAACATTTAACATCTGAAGAGGGTTAAGCTACTAATAAAGTTAGCACAGGACAAACCTCCAGAATCACAAGAGCAAAATTATAGTGTAATAAGGGAGAAATATGATTAAAATCCATTATATCTGTGTGTATGAAAATGACACAATGGAGGCTGGTTCATGCCTACAATCCCAGGCTCGGGAGGAAGAGGCAGGAGGATGTCTATGAGTCTGAGGCCAGCCTAGCCTGTAGAGTGAGTTCCAGGCCACCCAGACCCTGTCTCAAAACAACAACAAAAAAAATGTTTTAAAAATTAAACAACGAGGCTGAGGAGGTGGATTTGTCAGTGACGTGTTTGCCACTGGAGCATGAAGACCTGAGTTTAATCCCCAGAATCCACCTATAAAAAAGATGGTGCTGTGGCATGGACTTCTAATCCCAGCACTGGCCAGGGAGAGTAGAGACAGGCAGATCCCTGGAACTGGTTGGCCAGTCAGACTAGCCTCATGGGGAGCCCCGGGTTCCTGTGAAAGACTCTGTCTCAAGAATAAGATGGATGACTCCTAAGAAACAACACCCAGGGTTAACTTCTGGCCTACACACACACACATATACATCCATACAAACACACACATATATATACATACATACAAACACACACACACATACACATCCATACAAATACAAACACACACACACATATATACAACCATACAAACACATACATACATATGCATCCATACAAACACACACATATACATCCATACACACATACACACACACACACACACACACACACACACACACACACACACACACACACACATCAAATAACATTAAAAGAAAATATGCTTGGCTGTGGAAGTGCACACCTGTAATGACAGCAGGCTGTATAATCGTCAAGAAGCTGAGGCAGGGGAATAATGACTTAAAGGCCAGTCTGGGCCACATAGTAAGACCCAGTCTCAAAAATAAATCAATAAAAGTGAAATCCTGCTGATGGCTTTCCAGTTTACCCAGAGAATGGAGGAACACGCCAGTTATAGATGCTGAAACGATGCTCTGGGCCAGCTGTGTTATTTGCTCTCTGTTTACTATGTTCTTTAAAATTCTATAGTAAAAAGTTCTAAATAAATAAATCGGTTGCTCTCAGGGGAAAAACACAAGGCAAAGATTGGCAAATGTTAATAGCGATCATCTCTGACTCAAAGACTTATGGGTAATTTTTTTATCTTATTCTGCCAGCATTGTTCCATCTTTCACGTTTCTGTGAAAAGGAGATATGACATTAGGAATTCCAAATGTGTGAGATGATAGTTTAAAGGTTTTTCTTAGTCCCTCAAAACAAAACATAAATCAATTGTACTCATATGGAGGGAATGATCTAGCTTGTAGGAAAAAACAAAAAAACAGCCTGGAGTCAATTTGTGAGTAGAGTAAGATTCGGCTCCCCCCAACACACACACGCTGCCACCTCATGTCCCCAGTCCACTGCCACCCACCTCTGCATCTTCTCTGCCAAAGCTACTTAAATTATCTCTACATAGAACCCCTTCGTGCCCAATAAATTTTTACATGATCCCAAGTATGTAAGTATATAAAATAAGTACACAAATTAAATATTTACTGATAATCATACAGAAACTCATCTTAAGACAGTTATTTAATATGCATGTCATTTTACCATTTATTAAAGACAAAGCAAATGTCTATACTAAAGCAATAGATACACTTATTTTTTTTTACATAAGTGAATTAAAATTTTGTGTATGTATGTGCTCCTATGCCTGTGTGTGTGTGTGTGTGTGTGTGTGTGTGTGTGTGTGTGTGTGTGCCTGTGTGTATGCCTGTGTGTATGCCTTGGTGTGTGTGCATTCCTATATATGGGTGTGCTTGTGTGTGTGTGTGTGTGTGTGTGTGTGTGTGTGTGTGTGTGTAGTGCATGTGAGTATGTGAGTGTGGGGGTGGACAAAATCATGAATATGTAACTGCAGAGACCAGAAAAGAACACTGGGTACCTTCTATCTCTCTCTGCTTTGCTGCCTTGAGATAGGGTCTCTCCCTGAACAGGAAGTTGGCCTCAAAGAGTTGGGGTAGGCTGGCTGGCCAGAAAACTCCTGGAATCTTCATATCTTCACCCCTTCAATGCTAGGGGTGCAAATGCTCCCCTAGTCTTGCTTAGCTTTAAAAAGAAAGGAAGGAAGGAAGGAAGGAAGGAAGGAAGGAAGGAAGGAAGGAAGGAAGGAAGGAAGCAAAGAAGGAAGGAAGGAAGGAAGGAAGGAAGGAAGGAAGGAAGGAAGGAAGGGAGGGAGGGAGGGAGGGAGGGAGGAAGGAAGGAAGGAAAAGAAAAAGAAAAAAACGGTCTTACTGTGTATCTCTAGCTAGCCTGGAACTTCCTATGTAGTCCAGGATGGCCTTGAACTCATAGAGATCTGCCTGTTTCTGCCTTTGAGTGTTGGGATTAAAAGCGTACACCACCACACCAGCCTTTCATGCTCAGCTTTTTATTTAAATGCTGGGGATTCGAACTTAAGTCCTTGTGCTTGCACAGGAATCACTCTTCCCCAGCCCCTAAAATATAATCCTGACCAGATACTTGACGCTGTAGGATATAAGACACTGTCAGCATTTTCCAGAGTTGGTCAATATTTTGATTCAGAACCATCAGTGCCAAAAGCCATCAATATACATCACATCAATACACAATACAAAAATGGCAGGTGTGTGTTTAAGACATTTTCAGAAATTGTTGGAAATTCTGCCCTAATCCCAAACCAAAGCACATTCTGTTATTTTTTTTTTTAATGAAACTCAAGTCAGCAGTCTAAACAGCAATTTGCAAAATCAAACATTCCAACCGAGTGCAACCCAAAGATACTGATTTGAAATGTGCATGCTCAAAAATGATAGTAGGAAACACTGTCTTTGTTTCCTACAATTACACCATGACTGTCTGCAGGAGCAGAATTTCGTATGTGGGGCCAAAGATACAATTCAATTGGCTTGGTGCCTACCTAGCTTGTAGGATTCCCTGGATTTGATCCACCAGCACCACATAAACTGTGTGTGCTACCTCATGCCTCTAATCCCAGAACTCAGGAGATGGAGGCAAGAGGATCAGAAGTTCATGCTACATGGCAAATTCAAAGCCAGCCAAACACCTCAAGGAGCGTTCATTGGAGTCTCAGCGCTCTTCAGTTCCCACAGCCGCACTTACCGCTGCACCAGTGTTTGCTCGTCCCTCTCAGACTGTACTGCAAGTTCATGGCCGCCTGAATCCTTGTTTCCGGAAGTGACCAACCTCAGCAGCCAACACAGCAGTGCAGCTGCAGAAACTCAATCCTTTTGTTACATAAATAAGTCAAAGCAGATGCACTGTTCACCGAGCCCAGCTGTTGCTTGGTCCTCAACATTTACAAACACTGGACCTGTTCCTCCCGGTGTGGACTTGCAAAAATCTTCATGGGGCGAAGGGACCAAAGTCAGCTCTCTTGCAGAGAAAACTTGTCTTGACAGAGTCAAGAAGGTGCGCTGTGCATTCAAAAGACTACTGAGCTAGGGAGAATCTGGCACAGTTGATAAAAGTGTTATCCACACAAACATGAGGACCTTAATTCAGTCCCCCAAAGTCTACGTTAAAAACTGGGCATGTCAGCACACGTGTCTCAGTGCAGAGGAGGTGGAGACAAGCAAATCCCTGGAGCTCACTGGCATCCAGCAGAGCCTACTCAGTGAGCCCTGGGGCAGGGGTGGGGGGCGGGATGTAGATTGCACCTGAAGAGCAATATCTAAGTTTAACCTACAGCCTCTACATGTGCATATTAGTTGACTGATTAATTACTTAAACAAATCAGTGGCTGAACCACCTGCTTATGGAAATGAGCAAGCTCTGTAAGAAAGGATACAATCACAAACACAGACACACAAATATAAATAGATAGGTAGATAGATAGATAAATAGATAGATAGATAGATAGATAGATAGATAGATAGATAGATAGATAGATAGATAGACAGACAGACAGACATAAATACAAGATGGAAACCCAACAAAGCACACCAACCTTAGGGTACCTAAGGGGAAAACCGGAGATGAGGACTCTGGGAACAGCCCATGGTCGGAGTCCAAGGAAATGTCAGTATTCAGAGCAGAATGAAAGGACTGGCAATACATGTCCCTTGGGATGACCCACAGGGCACAGGTCCTGCTGCCTGTCTCTCAATCAAGACAGAGGCACCCTCCTCCTTCCAGCCCACACACTCTAGAATACTATGATACGTTTTCATTGTCTTCCTAAATATATATATATATATATTTGTATATATACCTGTATATGTATATGCTTAATTTACTTTGTATATGACTTAGAAATCTAAAATCTCAGACCTAGAGAAAAACTGTAGAAATTGCCTACCATGGTAGTGCACACCTTTAGTCCCAGCACTTGGGAGGCAGAGGCAAGCTGATCTCTGTGAATCTGAGGCTGCTTAGGCAAGGTCACATGGCACAAAACAGTGTTCCAGAAACCCAGGCGGATTTCTGTGCGGCAGCCAAAGTTTCTCTCCCTGGACTCTCTTCCCTTAAGCAGCAGTTCCTAACCTTCCTAACGCTGCGGCCCTTTAGTACAGTTCCTCATCTTGTGGTGACCCCCAACCACAAAATTATTTTCATTGCTACTTCATAACTGGAATCTTGCTCAGAGATTAAGAGCACTGGCTGTTCTTCCAGAGGTCTTGAGTTCAATTCCCAGCAACCACATGGTGGCTCACAACCATCTACAGTGAGATCTGGTGCCCTCTTCTGGCCTGCTGCATACATGCTGTATACATAATAAATAAATAAATAAATAAATAAATAA